CTACTAGACTACTACTACTAGACTACTACTACTAGACTACTACTACTGCTAGTAGTAGTAGTACTACTACTACTAGTACTACTAGTACTAGTACTAGTACTACTACTACTACTACGACTACGACTACGACTACGACTACGACTACGACTACGAGACTACTAGACTACTAGACTACTAGACTACTAGACTACTAGACTACGACTACGACTACGACTACGACTACTACGACTACTACTACGACGACTCCTACTACTACTACTACTACCACCACCACCACCACTACCACCACCACTGCCGCCATCGCCATCGCCATCGCCATGGCCACCACCGCCACCAAACATGACCACCGCCGCTTGTAAATCGCACGACTTGCTGTTGGGAGCATGATTTTCGTAGGTTTTTTTCCAGCTCAATGAAAGCGAGACGCCCTCGTTTTCGTTTTTCTAGCCGAAACCCGTCCCACCTTTTCGGCTCGGACCGTCCTCGTTTTCGGGCGTTTTCGGCATCGGACCGGTCCAGGCGCTGCGAGCTTGGCCGTGGCGAAGAAAAAGAGCGAGGCCGAAAGCAATGTCGGGCGAGTGAAGAGAGTGCGGGTGCCATTTTTGGAGCTGGGAAGGCTGCAAAGGTTCGCAAGGAGCTGAGTGATGTGTTGATTTAGTGGTTGAACATGTGATGTGATGCAAAGGCCCTTGGGAACATGTGATGTTTCTGAGTGGAACAACAGGTCTTTTTCACAACAGGGTCTGAATGGTCGGAAGTGCTAACATCGGTGCTTATGGACTCAAACATCAGGCTGTCCGAACAGAGTGAATGAACCGACCAACCGTCAGACTGCTGTTTCCAGTTTCCTGGACACAGTGTCCTACGGGGAATGGACATGAACAAGGAGGTCAAGTCCAAATCATATGATGCTGGACACCAGTGACACCAGAGATTTAGACTTCCCAATCAGAGAGATCTCCTCGTCTTGTCGCGAGCGACTCGCGACCTCCACGGGGAGAAGGATAGCATTCAGAGCGTCAACGACAGTGTGGTGGAGAGCATCAACAGTGAGGAAGATGTCTCGGCCGCTGGGCAAGGACCTTCAGGGACCCTTTCAGGGTACTTTTGCAAGATGGATGATGGATGCACCCCCTCAATTGAGCATGGTCACGTGCAAAAGCGCATGGAAAAAGGATACAAAGTTTGAGACGGACATCCAAGCCTTGGACAATTCAGGAACTGGAAGGTCGTGTTGTACTTGTTATCTTAAGAAGTTCTACAACATATATCTTCAACTCATCAGGTTTGACTTAGTAGTATATAAATATATTCCACAAATGAAAACTGGACATTTAACAAATGCTTGAACATGTCTCAATGCTGGGATGCAGCTTGACTTGGGCGGAGGTGGGGGTGTTTGGCGAGGGCGACTGGCGGGACTCCTCGGCGCGCAGTGCGCACGATGCGACCAATCCCGGCGAAGCGAGGCCATCCCGGCAGCGATTCCCCGAAAGAAAACAAGAAGCAATTGAGATGCAGTCTGAGACACACACACACACACACACACCATCGTTTGGAGTTGGCATGGTCAGATTTGCCTGAGATTTTAGCAAGATGATCTACAGTGGGTTCAGAGTAGATGGCACAATCCCCAAAAGGTGGTTTATATAGACCCCCAATCTAAATATCATGTAGGGGTGCCAGTGCCATCTACTCTGAAACCACTGTACTGGTTCCATTTTGGGAGTGCCGCCCATCTCGGCGAAAGAAAACCGAACTGAGGTGATTTGCCCTCACGGTGTCTTGAGCCCGCGTTGGTCCGGGAAACTTGCGTGGGACTTTATGGCCACTTGGATGAAGGTCGAACCCCGGCCTCTGGGGGTAGGAACATCGAAGCTACTTAAGAGCAAAGGGCATCGCTACGAACGGGGCTCCTGGCCATACTACTAGGAACAAGAAGCTATTAGAAACAAGAAATACACAGAATTGAACGTAATTAGAATTGAATTAGTAGCAAAGGAAGCTACTAGGACCTTTTCGGAGCCATGTTCTCCAGAGAGCTGCGTCGATCCCCATTCGGAGCCGAACGGAGTTTGCCTTCGATCCAAAACCATGACCGACCCTTTGGTTCACTGTGAGGTTCGTGCCACATCCACGGCCGAAGTGGATCGATCCAACTCGGTGTGGGGAGGCTTCGCCCCTTTCCTCCCCCGTGGTTGTTCGAAATGGAAAGAGGTTCCGAGGCTCAGAAGAAGTAAGAAACAAATGCATTGCTACGAACGGGGCTCCGCATCGCCCGGAGGCCACGAACGGAGCGAGAACACACGCCAACGGAACGGGGCTCCGATCGCCCGTACTACTAGAGCTGAGGAAAGGACGCTACTAGTACACCACACACTCTGACACTGGTTTTCAGTTAACGCAAGTCACGTTGGGAAG